GAATACAGAACAAGCTCATATTGGGAGGTTAAATCTACATTTTCAGTTAGAATCAGCAGGCAGCTCTGATAGTCAGATACAGAGGTACTTCATTAAATTCCTAATCCCAGGAAAGCATCTGTATGCATTTGGTTGAAAAGTCTATGATCATTTAAATCTAATGAAATAGATAAAATAATAATTCTGAAAAAAACAGAAAGGGCATTTTTGTGGTGGGCATGGTTGCTTTAAATAAAGCACAACATAAAAGATAGGCCTATGCACACCTTATGGTATCTTTTGCAGAAAGCATCGCCTGTGTTTAATATAGCTTATTCAGATGGAACTGAACATATTTACCAAGTGAATGAAAGAAAGAATTATCTTTCACCATGATGGTAATAAATGGATTTTGTTCTGGACTAGCAGGCTTGAAGCCTGCAAACCTGATTGGCCCGCTGATAGCCGATCATGATTGGTCGCCATAGACGATGCGATTGGCCAGTAAATGGGCTGCTGCGATTGGCCCTGCCAAGAGAGGCAAACTCAAATCACCTTCATTGGCTGCCTAGCCGCAGCCAGCCCTATATAAGGGGCTTCTGCGGCTGGGATTAGTTGCTCAGATCTGAAGTCACTAATAAAGAGCTGTTGTTGCTATCTGAGTCTTGCCTCCATTCTTGAACCATCCTCCCAGATCTAACACTGGCGACGAGGATGGGATGCGGAGGCAACAAAGTCTATTGATTTGAGCTAGCTGAAGGAGCACGTGGCTGACAGAGTGCAACGACGGCGACATGGCCAGCAGCGCTATACCACCCGCACCATTCGATCCAGCTAGCGAAGACTGGGACTCATATATGGACTGATTTCAAATGTTCCTGGAGTCCAACAACCTCAAAGATGCCACACCTAGCAAGAAACGAGCCGTTTTTCTAACCCATTGTGGGCCAGCCGTTTTTAAGATGGCTAAAGCCTTAGCGAAGCCAGCTGAGGTTAAAATCATGGATTGGGACACCCTTGCTCCCATCCTGCGCAACCATTACGCCCCAGCCATGCCAACTCTCATTCGCAGACACGAGTTCTACCAGAGGGACCAGCGTGAAGGTGAGAGCGTTGGGGATTTTGTGGCAGACCTGAGGAACCTGGGCAGTTTATGTGGCTTCGCCAACCTCAAAGAAGCCATGAGAGACCGCATCGTCCTTGGCCTCAGAGACCCAAATGTCCAGAGCAAGATTATGGCCAAGGGAGACATCTCACTTGCAGATGCCATAGCAGACGCCACCGCAGCTGAAGCCACTCATAAATCAGCAGCACGAATGCGTCAAACCAGCAGAACCAACCGCCAACCCACCAATGATGCTGGGAAACCTTCAGACAAGTACACATCAACCACCCATCATGAAGATGTCAAGTCATCCTCAGACAGCGAGGAAGAAGAAGTCCACAGGCTCCGGTCGGAATGTGAGCAACGGGACCAGCGGGGTCATAAACCCAACTACCAATGCGCTGGATGCGGGGGAAACCATCCCCGATCCGAATGCAGATTCTTAGATGCCATGTGTCGTTTTTGCGAGAAACGAGGGCACATCGCAAAGGTATGCAGAAACAAGAGAAATTCCAGCCCCAGATGGAGAGGAAGCAGCCCAAAGAGGTATGATGGCAACTCCACCACACAGAGGGACTGCCCTAGCAATCAGCAGACCCCGAAGGTTTAACGACACACCCAGACGAGAGGAGGCTCATCAAACCATCACCATCGGCCACGCTTCATCACTTGACGCTAAAAAAATCCAAGTAAAGGTCACCATTGAAAACAAACCGTGCATCATGGAAGTCGACTCTGGGTCATCACTATCCATGGTATCCTGGAGAACACTCAAGCAGCTAATTCCCAACATCCGATGCCAAGACCTCAGCAGTCAGAGACTCATACTGAAAGACTATCAAGTCAACCGGATTCCAGTCGCAGGTACCCGCCATGTCCAGGTCTCTTTCGAGGGACATGATGCAATTCTACCACTCACCATCGTAGACAGAGACCGGCCAAGTCTATTGGGCCTTCAGTGGTTTGCACCATTAGGAATCGGAATGGCTGGCATCCATCATACTGAAGATGATGACTGGGAGGCAGCTCTCATCCACGACTTCCAAGAAATGTTCAACGAAAGCCTAGGCAAGTACAAGGGGTCCCCTATTTCATTTAATCTTCGCCCCGACATTGCACCAATTCGCCTAAAGCCACGCCGAGTTCCCTTTGCTCCAAAATCCAAAATTGATGAGCAACTGGACAAATTAATTGCACAAGGCGTGTTAGAACATATTGACCATGCCCGATGGGAGACACCAATTGTCACCCCCATAAAGCCTGACGGGTCCATAAGAATCTGCAGTGACTACAAGGCCACCCTCAATCACGCGCTACAGCAAAGCGCCTACCCAGTACCAGTTGTTCAACATCTCCTGCATTCACTTGGGGGTGGCAAAATATTCACAAAATTAGATCTGGCCCAAGCGTATCAACAGCTGCCAGTTGATCCCGAGACTGCAGAAGCCCAAACTATAGTCACACATCATGGTGCATTCAAATGCAACAGGCTCCAGTTTGGTGTAAGCGTAGCCCCAGGCATCTTTCAAAGCCTGATGGAGAGACTATTACAAGATATAAAAGGGGTCATGCCCTATTTTGATGACATATTAATAGCAGCACCCACAAAAAACCAATTAGAGAAATGCCTCAGAACAGTCCTACAGAGGTTCAAAGATGCTGGCCTCAAGGTTAAGAAGGAAAAGTGCCAGCTTTGCACAGAAAGGGTGGAGTTTCTTGGCTACCTCCTTGACAAGCAAGGAATCCACCCCACAGAAAAGAAATTGGCAGCTATCAAAAACGCCCCAAGACCCAAAAACAAAACTGACCTCCAAGCCTTCCTGGGACTTATTAACTTTTATAACATCTTCCTACCCCAGAAGGCGACTGTTGCTGAGCCCCTTCATAGACTACTCGATAAAAGGGCATCCTGGATTTGGGGACGTCGGGAGGAACATACCTTCCAGCAAGTAAAAGACCTCCTTACCTCTCATGCAGTACTAATTCAGTATAACGAGACACTACCTTTGACTGTCACTTGTGATGCCTCACCATTTGGGGTGGGGGCCATCCTGAGCCACGTCCTACCAAACGGCTCAGAGGCACCAATTGCATTTTTTTCAAGAACTCTGTCAAAAACAGAAAGAAACTATAGCCATTTAGATAAGGAAGCCCTTGCTATTGTCTCTGCAATTAAAAGATTTCATGAATATGTTTATGGGAGACCATTTTCTATTATAACGGATCATAAGCCACTACTTGGGATTCTGGCAGGCGACAAACCTACTCCACACATTCTCTCCCCCAGAATGACACGATGGTCGGAATTTCTCGCTGCCTACGACTATCAATTAAAGTATCACCCGGGGAAATCTATTCCTCACGCAGATGCCTTGAGCCGCTCGCCACTACCCGAGCCACAGGAAGACCCAGCTCCCACACTCCTGGTACTGCAAATAGAGACAATGTCCTCACCTCCACTAACGGCCCAAGACATCGCCTTTGAAACCAAAAGAGACTCTTGTTTGGCACGAGTTCTTGGCTGGGTGGAGGGGGGATGGCCGGATTACGACCCTAAGGAAATATTTAAGCCATTTAAAAACAGACAAACAGAACTTTTTTCACAAAGAGGGTGCATCTTGTGGGGAGACCGAGTTGTTGTACCAACTAAGTTACAAAAAAGGGTCTTGCAAATGCTACACGATGGACACCCGGGCATCGTGCGTATGAAAGCACTGGCAAGAAGTTATGCCTGGTGGCCAGGTATGGACAAACAAATCAAAACCTGGGTCGCCTCTTGTAACAGATGCCAGGAAAACCACTCAGCCCCACCAAAAGCTCCATCAGCAGAATGGGAAACACCCAGGGGTCCCTGGTCTCACATTCATATTGACTTTGCGGGACCTACGAGAGGCCACACTTTCTTAATAACCGTAGATGCATATTCTAACTGGCTTGAGGTCAATAAAATGAAAGCAACCACTACTGAGGCAGTCATCAAAAAACTGAACAGACTCTTCTCCACACACGGGTTATCAGATGTCCTGGTCTCTGACAATGGTCCCCAATTTACTGCCTTAGCCTTTGAACAGTATTTAGCGGAACAGGGCATCCGACACGCACTTACATCGCCGGCTCATCCTGCGGTGAATGGTAGGGCTGAACGAATAGTTCAGTTTACAAAGAAAACCCTGCAGAAAATGGAACAAGGTAACATCCACGACAAAGTCACTAGAATGCTGCTCCTGCAACACATCACACCAAACAGCACGACCAACAAGAGCCCAGCTGAACTTCTGATGGCCAGGAAACTCAGATCGCCTCTAGACCGTTTGCACCCTGCCTACACCCCGGAAAAGCCCCTGGGTTCCAGCAGCAAGCACCGTGCCTTCAAGGTAGGAGACCTTGTATTCGCAAAAAAAAATTCTGGGGATCCCCTCTGGATTCCTGCCCAAATAACTCAAGTTATGGGTCCCCGCTCCTACCGTCTACTCACCACTGATGGCAGACCATGTAAATGCCATATTGACCAGCTGCGCTCCAGACTAACCACATCTTCCAACCCTGACCCTAACTTTGACACCAGGGGGGAGGGGAAGCCGTGAACTCAGAATTAGAACCAACACCTGTTTATTCTGAACTAACACCGAGATCACCGCACCATAGTTTGCAACACTCACCAGCTGCAGCTGAGCCTAGACAGACGAACGCTTCACCAAGAAACAGCAGCCAGGCAGATTCAGCGAGCCCGGGGAGCCATGGCAGTAGCAACAAAGCTGAGGACTCTATCACCCTGGGGGCACCAGAGGAGAGCCCTGACCATGGCACCGGTTCAACGTTCCTGTTTGATCCAGCAAGCAGTCCATCTGAACCCGAATTTGAACATGGACAATTGGAATTGCGTAAGTCAGGTAGACAGGTGCGAAGACCTGCCTACCTGCGAGACTATATTACTCCACCCCTTAAACGGAACCGAGAGGGGAGGGGTGTTCTGGACTAGCAGGCTCGAAGCCTGCAAACCTGATTGGCCCGCTGATAGCCGATCGTGATTGGTCGCCATAGACTGATGCGATTGGCCAGTAAACGGGCTGCCGCGATTGGCCCTGCCAAGAGTGGCAAACTCAAATCGCCTTCATTGGCTGCCTAGCCGCAGCCAGCCCTATATAAGGGGCTGCTGCGGCTGGGATTAGTTGCTCAGATCTGAAGTCACTAATAAAGAGCTGTTGTTGCTATCTGAGTCTTGCCTCCGTTCTTGAACCATCCTCCCAGATCTAACAGATTTCCTCTTGAGTGACAGTGAGTTGTAACAGAAGTGCATATTGACTTTTACCTCCCTTCTAGTGAGGAGAATGAAAAGTCAAGAGTTACCACTTTAATATCAGCCAAGGCAGGTCTATTAGTTGTAGTATGGGTGGATCCAGGAAATCATGGTTAAAACTATGTTTCTATATACTGATGTATACTTTATTAAATCATTCTAGTACTTTTTTCACCATCTTTTTTCACCCATCTTTTCACCAGTAACAATTTAAATCAGTACTACATGTGTTTCATGATGTAAAAGTACAGAATTGTGATAAGGAACTAAAGCACATTAATTTTGTAAACATTTTATGGGTACTCGGTAGCAATTTTAAGAGACATAAGAGTCTCAGAATAGTTCTTGTTCCTTTGAAGATAACAGTGTTTAATTTTTTATTTAAGATGACAATTATCATATAAAACCAATTTTAGAAAAACATAAGATTCAGGAATTGTGGAGAATCACAAGTAGAACCTTTGCAAAGATATTTTGTAAATGATTAGATAACTTAATCAGTTACTAAATAATTAGATTGCCTAATAAGTTATATTCATAAAGTATACATGGAGATTCCCAATCATCCAGGTATGGTTGTCCCAAAGATGCTTTTCTTTGAAAATGAAGAAAATTCTTCTGAACTGAAGAAGCTTCTCCAATCCAAGCATCTTTGGGTTATTCATAAAGTAATTCTAAACTTCAACATGCCTACTTAAATGTATAACATATGGAATAAAACATCTGTTTTGTGTTACTATTTTAATCAGAATCTACGGGGTTTACTTAATTTGGTGTAAATAAAAAAATGTAAAGCAGACTATAACTATTTTGCAGAAGATTTTATATGCACTTTAACAAAAGCATAGCATGCTAATTATAAATATTTAGCAGAATGTTTTGGATTGAATTTGCCGAGCTTGAGATCTGCCACCTGTGCTACATCATAAAAATGATCAGAAAGTAATTAGCTAAGTAGGTTAGCTAAGTAGGTTGTCCTAATGCCTCTATCAAGAACTCATGCCACTTATAAGGGTTGGTTTTTTAATAAGCCTCAAAGAAGTAGCTGGAAGTCTTTTTGTCCTGAAGCTCTTGTTGGACTCCACAGGGATAATTATCAGTTTCAATTTATTTGGGGAGAATAAAGCATTGGCAAGATGGTGGTTTTCTTAGATTAAAAAGATTTTGTGGAATCATTTTAATCTGACTTGCAGCCTAAAATGTTTTAAGATGTGTCAATCAATTTCTACAGACACAAATTAAACAAGGTAAGATATTTATTTGACCCATCAGCCTTTTTACTTCCACATATTATTACGAGAAGAATGTTATGCATCATACCACTGGACAAATTACACTAATGATGCCTGACCTTATCTTTAAGAATCCAAAGAAACCTGTAAGTCTCCTAAACCAACTTCAGCTGTCATGAAGGGTTAGATCTTAACACATTTAAAATAAAACTGAGCTGGATATTGAGCCTTCTAGGAAGGATATCCATTTGGATATTTAAATTGCAATTGAAATGGTTGCACTTCTTCTTGCAGCTCATAAAAAACTGTAAATTCTTCAATTGACCAGAAGTAAATAACAATCTCAAAATTTGGTAAATGTTCATTTTTTAAAAAAATTATTTTGGTAAAACATACATCTGGAAAAAAAAAAGAAGAAATAGGCTGGAAAACATAGGAACACAAAACATTCAACTTACCTGAATGGTAGGTGTGGAGCGATTTTTTCGCGTTGTAGTAGTGGCCATAGTAGTGGTAGTTTCCATGACGGTGGTGGACATCTCTGGTGGCATAGAAGTTGTGGGAGCTGTCCCCAGAATAGATGGCACTTCACCAACCAGCCGAACACTTCCATTGATTTTGATGTTGGGGTTGTTTTCTGCTGCCATGTTCAATACTTTCAAGCCATTGTAATAGAGACCGGAAAGCTGACCTTGGAAGAGACGCCCTCTATCTTTTCCTCCAATGGCTATTTGAGCCTGGGTGTTGAAGATCGTTAACTGTCGTCCTAAGTGAAGGGGGGGAGTGAACATTGTTATTGCCAGAAATATTCTTCCCTCTTTTTAAAAACCAAAATGTTTTATGTTATGTCCTGGTTGAATGGGTGGAAGATCAGAGTGAGTTTTCTGACATTGGTGGTGATGGAAATTGTGATGGCTGAGTGACTGGATGCAACACTACAAAAAATTGTCTCATTGTGTTACAAATTAGGATAAACCAGATCAAACAAATAACAGTGGAACCAGATTTTCTTGGCCTTATTCCCATAAATGTAAACATATTTAGCAGAAGCCAGGATTCCAAATTTCACCCAAGTGATGAACTCAATCCAGTTTTAAGATCAAGCATTCTGCAAGGTTTTTTCTTACTGAGAATCTGAGAGAGTTCAGTTCAGTGAAACTACTCTGATTTTTGCATATTATGAAATTTAAGAAAATTTGATCCTTGCATGGACTGAACAAAGATTTAATCCTGTCCTATGATTTGGAAAAAGATATAGCATTAAAAGATGGATAAATGTATGCTTCATGACTCCTTAAAACATAAAATAACTATATTTCTGAATGAGGATATTATCTGCATTTAAATAAAGTGCAACTTTAAGACAATATTGGATTATCATTTCTATAGAAGAAAACAAAATATATCTTAAAATAAAATTAGTGTAAACAAACAATTCTATTCCTTGGATACCTCACTTTCACAGTAAAATTCTATGCAGTCATTTCCACCTCACACTGAAGTTATAGAAATCAGATCCAGTACCCTGCAGAAAACTAAATCCAAGCGAGAAGGATTCTTATAGTCTTCTCTTTAAAGCAGTAGTCGCCAAATGGTGAGCTGTGGCCCACTGGTCGTCCATGAGAAAATTTTGGTGGTCCGCAGAGAAATGTCCCCCCAAAGCACCCCCCCAAAGCAATTAATCCAGGCTGAGTGGAATACAAGTCTGTGCTGAGCACTAAGCCGCCCACATGCTGGCCTCATCCTTCGGTAGAGCGCAAACCTGCAAAAAGCAGTGCAGCCCTCACCAGCCAGGATGAGGTAATGGTGCTGTTGCAGCAAGAGGGGGCTGGCAGCAGAGGCAGGCTGAAGTGGCTATAGAGATGGCTGGAAGGTGCAAATTTGCACATTACAGGTACCAGTCCCTATGGAGGAGATTTCCAATCCCACCACGGGCCAGTCCCATATTCCAGAGCTCCAGTAATCACAAGACTGGCCCTTTGGTCACCCTGGAGAAGTTCATCCATGGTAGGCCGATGCACAGGTCAGTCCTGTGACTAATGTAGCTCTGGAATATGGGACCGACTTTCCTACTGTCAGCAAGCCACCGCTAATCAAATTTCATATTAGTGGTCCACGGGATTTGAAATTATAAGTTGGGGGGCCTTCCTGAAGTCCAGAAGATTGTTGACCCCTGCTTTAAAGTATCAGTCCCTAAACACAAGTTTACCTTTGAAAAGTAGCCTATGCTTTGGCTAGTAAGCAATTCTATGGAGGGATGTTTTGAAAAGAGAAAATATAGTGGTGAACCTGAACTCTGCTAGGATCTCAAAATAACTGTTAGTAGGTTCTACAATATATCCCCCATTTTTTCCAAGGATTGCTTTTTCTTTATCGGTACTAATAATGTGTCAGAAACCCAAATTTGATTGTACAGAATCATCATTGTGAATCTTCCTTGAGATTGCAGAAATGAATTTCCCAATTCCTTAAAGGGAAGCAAGAAGAATTCAATTCTAGTCGAAACAAATCCCCACAAACAATTTCCAATTCTTCATTCTACATACAAATCAAGGACATATTCATCCCATTAATTCAAAAAGACAATTTAAATTTTGACAAATTTTTTCTCTTTCTCTTGTTCTTGCCTCATCATTTCTGGAAAATTAACTGAAATTTTCAAGAATTACATTCCTTGTATATATGATTTTTTTGCATTCAGCTTTCTAAATGACAGCTATAAATTTTATATGATAAATCCAATATGTAAGCTCACCTGGATTTAATATTTATTCATGTGTTTTAGAGTGTATTAAATGTAAATATCCATTGAATAAAGAACCATACTAGCCACATTTCAGAAAATAAAGTGGAATTAGTATTATTTCATTCAGTCCACTTCTCCCAACATTTACACACACATGTCCATTCCCTTCCCCTCCTCCCTTGCACACTTACCACTTTCTTTCTCTTTTCTATCCTGATAAATGCCAAATTCTACTGTGTCATAAGTAGAATCTAAACCCAATTACTGATTCTCTGTGATTAAAGTAGATCAGAATAGGAGGGGGAGCTCACCAATTTTGGTCGTCGTGGCAGGTCTCGAAGTCAAGTGGTGATGCGGTGTTGCATCATCTAATGGTGACGGGATGGGTCATGGGGAAGACAATTGGGACAAGAGAAGAAATGCATCTGAAAGGAATTCCTATTTCAAGGAGGATCCTAGCTAACCAAGCAAAGTAGATGTTTATGGGAAATGCTGAGAGTTTGAGGAAGCAGAAAGCACATCTTCATGTGGTCTCCACTACCATAACAAGAAACAGATCTTCATTAAGCAAAGATGGACTAGTGTACAAATGTAAAAAGAGCAAATTAAAAGAAGAAAAAAAAATGAAAGGATTGATATACTCTGTCCTTGGAAAGCAATTAAATCTTAAATTTTGAAATCTCTTCCATGATCTCTTTCCTCTCATGCCCTTTTCTCCTTATCTTATGGATTTGTTGCATGTGGCTTGGGAGTGGCTTGTTTCATTTTTCTGTTGTGTGAGAGAATAGTAAATCTGGCTTGGCTCAATTTTTTAAAATAAACAAATAATTGCTATAGTGATAATCTCACAGATAATATCTCTATATCTTTAGGTTATAGAGATGATTGTAATAATAAAACTATGTATACTCCAATCTCTTTCAAGCAATGACATGATATCACATGGAAAATTCTGATGGGCTCTCATTAAATTTGGACATACAATACTATTCGCAGGATCATTTTTTCAGAGATGCTATAATATTAACAACTGCATTTTTCTATTCATTCTCATGCAGTGCTATCAGCTGGAAAATGACACTTGAGGCAAATACTTTATTATCAGTCTCCAACTTTTCCACAGATAAAAAATGTACAGGCTATTCAACAGCCACAAAATTACACATGAATTAGGACTTCTGCTCAAAACTACCCATGTTCTTTGGGTACATTTCTGAGAGGAATTAATCAGTTCCTCCAAGAAGGTCATAATATAGGGAGTGGGAAAAATTTCCTAGCTTGGAAAAATATAATAACCCAGAAGTAATTCAAATTAGCAGTTTGAAAGTGCTCTATTCTTTCTTTGGGCTCCAGAAACCAAAATTACAGAGAGGCAATGACATTTCAAAACTTATGTCCAGATTCTATGACCAACAGCCAGAAAATGGCAGAAACTGGAAAGTGATCTACATAGTTTACTCCATTTTTTCCAAACTATTAACAATTGACAACGACTACCATGAGACCCAACTGCTTTTCTGATAATGACATCCTTCATGTCTAATGACACAAAGCAAAGTTAGTGGATTCCATTAAAACATACTTTTAGTTTCTTTAACAATCCAAGGAGAACCAAAGACAAAAAAAAATTCTATACCCACCCTTTGGAGATCACCAAAGAATGGGTAGGGTATAATTGTCATATGGTATTTAGAGCAGAAATTGCACTTGTTGAATGTACCATGGAAGACTTGTCATTGATGAAATATATTTGTAGGGTAGGGCCATACTTAAGGGAGAGATATGGATTGGAAAAAACATAGGTGTGCCTATAGCACTTGTTGGAAACACTTTCAGGTAGTGTTTTTTCTTGGAGTTGTGCCCTTTGTATCTGCCACACAATACTAGGAACAGATGTGTTTGATTTAAGGAGTTTCCAACAGGTCCTACATGCAAATCCAACATGTTCTGAGTCATATTTCTTCCTTTGAAGAACTATAAATACTTCCCGGAGTGTCAGAAGTGGACAGTTTTTAAATGGAAAGAATTATGGAATGTCTTTGGAAATTGAAAGAGACATGTTAGCCCATTGAGTCCAATCCTTGCTTAATTCTGTAATTCAAATTACAGGATCCATGACAACTATTTGACTCTATTTGAACATATCATGTAAAAGTGACCATCACCTTCCTAGTTAATGCTTCACTTTCAAAGAACCTTGACTGGTTTGTTTTGAGAGAGTTTAATGTGTTAAGGACAGATTTTGCATCTCATGTTTCTTAATTAACTTCTTCTATTTTTAGTTGGTTTAGACACCTTAGTATCAACCAATGTCTTTGCCAATGCTTAGCTTATTTGGAAAACTCAGAGTTAACCTCAGATTTAGTACATTCTCTCTCATGGTCTGTAATCTTTGGAACAGCATTCCCCAGTTTATAGTTACTACTCTCCAAGGGCTATGTTTCCAGGCCTACTTGTGGAATCCATCACATTTTTGTGTATTTTATTTATTTGGCTCTGTCCTGATGATTATGATTTTTAAATTATTCATTTTAAATTGTGTAAGACACTCAGAGTCTTTTTGGAATAATTCAGCTGCTAAGTCCAATAAATTAATGTATTAACTGTTGGAATTAATCTTCAGTTAATTTTCATCTTAGGCATTTCAATCTTAGGTATTTCAGTTATGCTATGTTCATTAAGTTACTTCATAGATCTACTTGGTAAAAAAACCAAACCAAATTTGCATTTAATCTCTGTGCTGTTTCTTTATGGCTGTTGTTGCATGTAAGACCCCAATCTAGTTCAAAACCATTATGAATGGGCAAGAGAGGTTTAAATATTTACTGTTGCTTTCCAAAATTTGTGTCTTCCAATAGGAGTTTAAAAAGGGTGTGAAACTCCATTGGTGCTAGTGTGTGAGGGGGAGCAACTGAACATGTGTAAGCAAATGAGAAAGCTTTATTTGATTTATTTGTTTTAGAAATATAACCATGCATATTGTTCCAACTTCCTAGATACAATTACCTGAAACAGATGAC